TTTGTTAGTTGTCTTATGGTTGATTCTGTCTCATAGTAGGTGACTCTGCATATGCAAACAGAAACTGATTCATAGGGTTTTTATAGCTGTGATCCTTTGGAAGCAGATCACCAAACCCTGTTGAGTGGATTCAAACTGTAAAACTTTCCAGTTAAGTAGTAAAACGTCTAGCCATTTGCACCACTCTGGTAGTGTAGAGGTTAAGAATCGAGCTGCGAACCTCAAGGTCAGCAGTTTGAAACTACCAGCTGCTCCATGGGAGAAAGATGAGACTTTCTGCTCCTGTAAAGAGTTACAGCCTCGGAAACCCTATTCAGGGTTTGGGTTGGAACCGACTTGACGGCACTTAACAACAACATAAGCCTTGTAAAAGGAGCTCTGGTAGCCTAGTTGGTACGAATCCGGCTGCAAACCACAGGGTCAGCAGTTCAAAACTTCCAGCTGCTCGGTGGGAGAAAGATGAGGCCTTCTGCTCCCGTAAAGATTTACAGCCTTGGAAACCCTGTACAGGGTCACTATGAGTTGGAACCAACTCCACGGTACTTAACAACAACAACAGAAGCCTTGTAATGATTACAAGCAAGAAAGCCTCCAGGAGCAGTTCTACTCTGTATTCATGGGATTGTCTCAGTGGCAGCCAACAACAAAAACAACAGAGAGAAACAGGTACGTTGAATGGCCAATTTGATCTAATATTCAATCCATGATGTTTTCATTTCACTGATCCTTAAAGTCTACAAATAGTTAGAGAGTTTTCATTTGCAAGTGTTTCTGATTCTTTAGACAATGCTAGGATCTGATATTCCTTATTCCTTTATTTATTTATTTTTTAGCATACTGGGACCCAAAAGTTTTCACAGCTTATGATGCATTTCGTGTAAGTTTAATCACATCGGAGCTTATTGTACAGGAGGTAGAGACTCAACGGAATGGAGTCAAGGCTATCTTTGATCTAGAAGGCTGGCAGTTTTCTCATGCTTTTCAAATTACTCCATCTGTAGCCAAGAAGATTGCTTCTGTGCTTACAGTAAGTGTTTCCTGAATAATATTGTATTTTAATTGTGAGTTATGGTTAAATATGGAGGCCTGGTATGGT